TCCATTCCTGGATGAAGCTTAGATACCCATCTATGGAGACTCGTCCATCCAGACGTATCCATAGCGATGTATCTACCCAATGCATTTCTCCCAACGCACTTCAAAGAAAGAGACCGACTCGCAGAGTGACGGAAAAGGGAAAATACCAGAGTGGTTCGAAAAATGTGGCTTCCCGACTAGTGAAACCCTGGTCGTGGTGCCAACGATCCGCATGTCCCTCACGGGAAATGGCGTCACTCCAATTGGATTTGGAGGGGATCCACTCAAAGTAAATCCAACATCTAAGTGAAAACAATAGAATGTGAATCATATGACTCATGTGCTCGAGGTCAGGGCTGTCTGACCTTCCCTTGATGAGCGCCATCAAGGCAGCGGTGTTGTCTATGTACCATGTGCCGCGGCGATTGCGAAATCGCTCAGGTGTGGTAGTCAATGCCATGAGGACCTGCAAAAGTTCTAGTTGTGCGATCTTAGCCTCTCCTGGGGTCCAAAGAACGTAGATGGACGGTGGGAGATAGGAAACAAATCCAAGCCGGCTCTCGGTGTCCTCGTGGAAGAAGACGAGGAGAAAACCACCTGTCCTTTTACCGGGGGTTTCCAATGCAGCGTCAGACGCTGCCACAAAGCGCTCATGGTGTCTCGGCCAGACATCAAGTTCACGCTCCGGATGGATAGAGAGCACTGCTTCGAGAATTTGAAAGCATTGTTCGATAGCTGGAGTCAGTTGATCACCTCGGACGAGCTGACGCTCCTTAATGGCATGGAGACCTCCACATCCTATCCTGCCGTAGACGCCCTGCTCGAAGAAGTTGGCCAGTCCGTACAGCTTAGCTGCAACACCGGGCTTGAGAGTTTGAGTTGCACGGCAGTCATGGATAATGGCCTTCAACTTGGTTTCCAGGCGTTCCCTCGCCCAAAAGGAGACAAAGCCACCAGATAGTGCGGCCGAAAGGTCATGGTCAAGGCCTAGAAACAACCCCTTGGGGCGCATAGCCTGGCGTTTCTCTGCTGCAAAAGGGGTGCCCAGAAGCTGATTCAAGGCTCCAAATGCCCATTGAGCCGAACCCCGGCTCGAAGACCAGTCCTGAATAGATGCATCATCGAAGTAAAGCGAAACCAGGACATAGCACAGGCGGCGTCCCAGGGCCTCTACAAGACGGCTGTACCGATTGAAGGAGGTAACGGCCAGTGGAAGACCAAATAGTAGACCGGCGTAGACTTGAAAAGCCGGAGCAGCCCATTCATGACGCCAAAACGTCACAACGCATCCCCGCGTTTCGTTGGCTCCCATTGGGCTGTGGCGATAGGCATCCGGCCAGTCTTCTCCACCTGTCTCCCAGGTATCGGTGGCGGCTGCCTGGGCTCGCTCGGAGGGGCTCATCTGGCGCAGGACTTGGCTAATGTGCTGAGCCGGTCGTAGTGGTGAGCAAAGCACCAACTTGTTGGCATCGGCCGAGCGTAAGGTTTGTCCTCCTGCATCAGCGTTGTCGATGACCCGCTGCTTGCCTGAAGACTGTGTGATCACACAGCGTGGGATCAGGCGGTACGGCTGCCCCTGCAGCTGCTGACGCAACTGTGCCAGCGTCAAGGGAGGGGTACAGAACCCTCGTGCCGCGTCCTTTGTAGACTGCTCCAACAGGAACAGGTCATCCTTACCCGGCTTGAGGGTAGACAAGATCTGATGGTTGTGTGCTTCGCATCCGGCCAGGACCTCTGTAAGAGTAATACGTTCGGCAGGCTGAGATGGAAAGACGCCGTAGCAGGGTGCATAACCGACTGCCGGCAGGCCTTCGATGAGCCCAAAGGGATATGTAACATCAGGCCATGACGTCAGCAAGATCAACAGCGCGACAAAGCCGAGGTCACGGGTGGCTGTGGTCGCCTGCAAGGCGACAGGTTGAAACTGCCGTAGATGGCGTCCTACTGCACACCAACGCCGATGAAGTTCTCGAAGTGCTCCCACGGCTGCACGGCGAAGGTCTCGGAGACGACCTCGGTACTGAGTGTGGCAATCGGCTGCAAAAGCCAGGTCCAGGTCCAGCACGGCTGGTAGCTCGGTAGGTAGCAAGTCGCGACCCCGTGCCAGCGCTTGGGCGAAGTGTTCATCAGGACTGAGATCATAAGACAGCAAGGGGGGTAGGGCTGCTCGCTGATTCAATGCGCCCACTTGCTGGCCCTCGGCAGTTCGGAGGGTCTGGCGAACGTTGGCATCAGCCAGGTGCGGGCCCAGGGGGCCATCAGTCTCGTAGTGCCTATTGTGCAGCCACACCGGGAAAGCATTGAACGGGGCAGCGTTGATGATGTCCTCAACCATGGGGAACTGGAAGTTCATGAAGAAGTGAGCTGGATATAATTTGCGAAAGGCGAGAACGAGGGCCTCTTGGCTCCACCAACGTGTCGGACTCGTTGGGATACCCTGGACCGTGCTGGCCATACTCGCTAGGAGAACTTGGCGAGCTGTAGGGGTCCCCCCCCGACTGAAGCGATGCATCGACTGACGGCCCTGTGGATGGCTCGCCTCGAAACAAAGGCCTGCAAGCACATCAGCCTCACAAGGGTCGCAGAAAGGACAGTCGCAGACCAGCACTTTGCCTTGCAGCTCTTGCAGTTGGGTCACCAGCCCGGACTCGTAGAGGTAGGCAACATAGTACCACAACCAATCGTTAGCCTGACTGTTCAGCCCAGGAATGACTGGGGAGGCCCACTTGGTTTTGGCAAGACGATGCGAACCACGGCCATGGCCCACGTAGACATGATCGTGCGGCAACTTGCCCTTCTCGATGAGGACGTCATCTACCTGAGCTCGACGAGGGACTCGGGCGGCCTCACTGGGATCTGGGGGATACAAGCCAATGCCCAGGGCAAGCGGCGCCATCGCCCATTCCCTGAGTGCCCGGGGATCCAGATCTAGCCAATGTTCACGGGCTCCGACACACTCGAATTGCGGCAGCCGTGGCACATGCAGTTTAGCGCGACCCACGCGCCCGGCCCACCACGAGGCTGCAACCGCAATAGCAAAGGCCAAGACAGCTGTGTACTCGGCCTCCTCTTTGGATGGGTAGATTGTCTGGCCATCCTGAAGGTAAGGAGTCCATTCGTGTGGCGCATGAGAATGGTGGCAGGTAAGCGGCGGCCATTGCTCAATCTCATGAATGTTGTGACGCAAGCACTGCGCCTTGCAACGAGCTCCCCCCAGACAGCATGCATCATACCGCTTGTCTTTCCAGCGGCCAGTGGCCATCATAGCGCGCTCGGTGGACCCCCACCAATGTAGGCTACGCCAGGGATTCTCACGGACTGACCCGCCGCCACGCTCGGCGAGCAGACGAATCTCCTCGAGGATGAACTCGCAGGCCTGGTTGTCCGTGCGAACTCGCTGAAGGTCACGACCCTGCAGAGTCGGCAGTCCATCTGGATGTTCCTCAGAGCGCAACGGTGCTGGACATGGGCGGCCGTCCTCAAACCGGCGAGGAATTTCCCTGGCTCGACTCTTGGTAGAGCAGTCAAAAGCTGCGCATATGAAGTCAACCTCCGAGAGCTGCTCATGTAGGGACTGCTGGCGTAGTGGATTAGAAAGGTCATGAGACTTGTCCAGCATCCAGTCGACTGACAGGGTGCGCCACCCGCACCAAAGGAAAGCCTTGGACAGTGGCAGGTTGGGCCCACAGAACAGGTCAGCAACCAAGGGACGGGGAGCATCGATGTCCCCTAAGGGGGAGTCCGTCCCATCCTCCCCCTCGGGGCCCCATCACTTCTTCCCGCCCCGACAGGCGGCAGCGCCGTGCCGGGTCGCCACAGGCGCGCTCTTTGCGCAGGACCAACCCACAACGGTGCTGGCCATTGGCACAGTTGGCTTTGGCCTTGCACTGGCCATGTTGGAACGCCTGGCAGAGGCGTGTGCCATCTTTGAGGATCTTGGCCACCTGGCGCCCATTGATTGGATTCCC